TTTCCTTCAACTTCTGTCCGCTAATTACAGCCGCCTTCGCGTCCTTCGGGTTCACCTTTTCTACCGGAGTATTAGTTCTCAGAGCGATGTCTTCTATGGTCTCAGTGCCTGTCATTTCATTGATGATTACAGGCATGAGAAGGCCGACAATTATTAAAGACATTCATTTGTTATACTCATTGCTAAATGGCTTATAAGACTTACCTTTTGATATAATGCCGACGGCTTTGGCTATAGCCTTAGCAGTGATGGGGTGATCGCCGGTAACCATAATCACTTTAATGCCGGCGCTCCTGCATTTGGCCACAGCGTCGGGCACCGCAGCTCTCGGCGGATCAATCATCGACACTAAGCCCAGGAACCGGAGGTTAGTCAGTGGGAAGTTGGGCTCATCCGAGTTGAAGGTAAATCCGGACGGATACTTATCGGCCGGCAGTTTCAAGTCACACAAACCGATTACCCGTTCGCCTAGACCTCCCAACTTAAGATAGGCGTCGTTAAAGGCATCCTTCATATCCTTATCCAAAGGTTTCTCCTCGCCGTTGATGAATATAGTGCCCGAGCGGTCGAGTATGCGTTCCGGGGCGCCCTTCATACATAACAAATAGCTCGGGTCGTTGTGGTCCTCCGTCTCGTGGATAGTCACATGATATTTGTTCGTCGAATTGAATGGTATTTCGCAGACCTTTGGGTTTCGTTTCCTGAGTTGAGTCACATTTCCGATCGCTATTTCCATACATTTCAAAATTGCTGATTCGGACGCATCGCCCGCACACTCACTGCACAATACAAAGCAGTATTGATTTTATTAGTATTACACGAATATATCATAGCAATAGTGATATGAATATACCGTTTAAGGATAGGGATGTTGTCCTGACCGCCCTTAAACTCACACCGACTGCAGAGACAACAGGCGCGACTCAATGACTTCCAACCGGAGGAGCTCTTGTCGTACTGGACACCGGTCTGGTCCTCAGTAGTGTCCACCTCAATGATATGGTTGTCGAACCACATGTGCGCGACTGTCATCCGGTTTTGGGTCAGAGTTCCCGTTTTGTCGCTACATATGGTGGACGTCGAGCCTAACGTCTCCACGGCCTCCAAGTTCTTCACCAAACAGTTCTTACTGGCCATCCGTTTGGCCGTTAATGTGAGACATACGGTCACAGTTACCAACAGTCCTGTTTTGAATGAATGAAACAAATTGATTATAATCTCAATTTCACGCATCAGTGGGTAGTGTGAGGCATACCTTCGGGAACATTGGCCACAATAATGCCTATTAGGAAGACGACGGCTTCCAACCAGTGATAGCCCACTGCAATGGCTATGATAAAGAAGGTGACGCCCAGAAAGACTGCTATGGCTGTTATGATTTTAATAAAGCGCTCGATTTCGCGGGCAATGGGTGTCTGACCCATCTCTAGACCGGCCGTCAGGTTAGCGATACGACCCATAATAGTTCGGTCGCCCGTATTGACCACAACCCCAGTGGCGGCGCCCTCGACACAGTTGGTCGAGAAGAAGGCCAAATTGGAGGTCTCCAAAGGGTTGTCACTCGTCTTCACGGTGTTGCGGCTCTGGGGCTCAGATTCACCCGTCAGTGATGAGTTGTCTACTTTGCATCCGTGGGCTGTTGTGTCAAAATAGGTGTTTAGAAAATATTGTCAATAATATGACATTTATTTCATGACTACCTTTAATAACACGAATATCGGCGGGTATTCTGTCGCCGCCTTTCACTTCGACCACATCCCCGACCACAACGCCTTCAACACCGATGGTCACCACCTGTCCGTCGCGCACCACTGTTGCCGTCTGTGGCACTAAATTCTTAAAGGACTCCATAATTGCTGATGACTTGGATTCCTGATAGTAGGCAAAGACGCCCGAAATGATGACCACAACTGTGAGCACTATTCCTAAGTATAACTGCAAAACACAATTCTTTCAGAGATTGTGACATAGATTTGGGACATAAAGTGACAGACATTGTCGGGATTGGGTTCACCAGATGTGACCACTTCTATGCCATAGGCGAAGAAGCAGAGGAAGGCTCCGATCCATAGCAAGAGAGCGAACCCTCCGAACAGTTGTCGGCAGAACTTCACCCATTCCGGTGTCTTTGGCGGTGGGAGAAGAGCATTGGGTCCATCCCTGGCCAACACCTCTTTGGCCTTAGCCTCAGTGAGTCCGGCCTCTGGGCTCTGCAGACCATATCTGGCGAAGAGCTCATCCAAAGACACTTTGTGTTCATCCATAACAACCTCTTTCTTAAGAGACTCCATCTCTTTATCCCGTTTCTCGGCTTCGGTCTCATTCTTGGGCTAAAATCAATGCACATATTATTGATGTCATCTTATTTTGAATACAATAATCATTGCATACCATTACCTTCTTTGGCGAAGACATCACTGAATTTGAAACACAATTCAAATGAATATCGAATGCAATGAAAGAGTGTATGAAATGAATGCAAATGAGAGGCAAAAGTGCGACAAAAGTGAGACACGACTTGTGCCACGAAATCATTTTATTATTAAACAGTCTATTAAACTTCAAACATTACAAATCTAACTCTACTCTACTGTTTGTGGTTTATCCTGAGCATTTCTACAAATCAACAAATAATTATAGTTTCATTATTTCGATACAATTATTAGATTGCATTGAATTCTATAATATATGTGAGAACACAGAATATAACACTTCTTTGGATACAATGAGATAACTATGGGATCAAAGGGCGAGTTGTGGTTTGGTTGCCTCGAGTCCTCTGTTGGCAAATCTTCTCTTCTTCTTCTCGGTCTGTGAGACATCCATAAAGAGCAGGAAAAAGGATCCAATCATCAGAAGAGTCTACAAAGAGAAAGACAATTACTTTGATATAAATTATGAATATATGTGACACGAAGACTTGCACTAAAGAATCCATCAAAAGTAACCGTAAATAAGTCCCAACAACTGAAACCCATTTTAGGTCCGCCTATTCTTTGGATATAAATCTGAAGCTGAGTCTTGAGGACGAGAGGCATCTGATGCTGTGATACGGCGTTCAACGCTCCATAGGGTTCGTGGATCTATAGTAATGATTATTATACAGTATTAAAGTGCTACAAATATTCATAAATACTTAGGGTGTACGGAATGAATACAGAATATCCACTACAGTATAGAATACCTCATCGGAGACAGCGCCGGCAGAGAATGCAGTGAAGAATAAGCTGATAGAGAGGCCAAAGATAGCGCTGATTAGTATAACTTTGGTGTAGACAAGCATTTTGACGAAGAGAATGGTTTGAATGAAATAACAGATAATTGTGATGTAAACGAGGAATTCCAGGACCAGATAGAATTGCCAGAACTTATTATATTCTGATAACTCTTTAGCGAATATGTTGTGATTAGTCATATAAGTAGTGATCTTCCGGTGCTTTGCTATTAGTTCCACATTTTCATTGGTCTCCAATTGTTTTGCCATTTCGTTAAGTTTACGGAATTTGATCCAAAAGTAAAAGCAAAGCATGTGAAAGACACCCATAACTGCAAACTCGATGGAAATGCTGTAATAAAGCCAAATAATTGTGATGAGACACCATATGAGTCCTGAACTGTAGTGGTCTTTGGGCCAATTACTAAGAAATATGTAAATAACAAACGCCACTGATATGGCCAGCAGGACGGCTATTAGTCTCTTGGTTGCTGAGAGAGTGGACAAGGTCCTTTTCCAAAAGTCAGACGCGTCATCAAATCCCAACTTCAAGTCCTGGTGCTTAACCGACCCCTTGAACAGCTCGAAAGGTCGGAGCCATAATAGGTTTAGTTTATGATGTCTCCGGGCGATAGTAAAGAGTGTCGCCGAAAAGGCACCGATAGATGACCACAAGATTAATATGAAGTGATAGTCGATATTCTTGTTGGACGCGAAAGCAGTGAAATCCCCAATTTTTTCAGCAGATATATACTCATCAGGCAATATAGCACAGGACCACCACTTTAGAAACATAGACCACTGAAGCAATAGTACGAACAACTGATGGCTTCTCCTCCAGAATGAGTTCTCCTCTTCAGACGAATCGGCATTATATGGCTGTGAGAGTAGACCTATTGACATGAGATAAGAATCGATTTCTACTTTCTTTAGCGACTCCAACGGCGCTCTATTAGTGTCTACACTTCTGGAAAACGATATGATCCTGGTTATGATCCGGGCTTTGGTTGTCTTGTACGGCATCTTTGCTCAAATCCAAATGAAACCCAAGTATTGAATTCACATATCTAAGTAATAAACTTATTATTTGTAAGATTTTTGGTTTGCAATAAGTTTTTAATACAAATATTTTGTTTGTTATCCATTATCATGCAAAACACGAATATTCTTCATTTAAAGTTCATTATAAAATGATAAATAGACTAAAAAGAATAATATTTTTAGTCATTAAAATACTGTTCAATATTAATTTATTGAGTATTTTTATAATTTATTTGTTTAGATTATTATTCAATTTAATAATTGAATTGTAAAGTTTATGAATTTTAGAAACAATATATTTTTTGTTTATGATTAATGTTAATAATTTTATAATGATATTCTCATATTACAAGAAAATTAGTTTAAAAACTTTTCAATAAACGATTTTCTCAGTATACATTATATTTTCTCAATTTTAATGTACTTTAGTAAATTTTTAATGAAAGTTTTTAATGTTAGAATAGAACTTTCGCTTAAAAAACTAAAGTTACTCAGATTATAATTAGTACATGAGAATGAATAATGAAATTAATGTTTTTATTTTAAGTAATATTTTTATTTTTCAATTGAATTCCAAAATTTTTTACAATTTATTCAGACTAGAATTCATAAAAATGTTCACATTTATCATATACATGTAGTGTAATCAGAATTTTCAATATTCAAGAATGGGATCATTGATTCTAAACCACAACAAAACATAGAAAGTTGAACTCGATTTACAAATGTTTTTTAATGAATTTCATTATACTGTAGAATATAGTTTTCTGAAAGTGTTATACAATATAATTTTCTCAATAAATTATTATTAAATTAAAATGAATTTAATAAAAAATATTGTCATTTTCAACTTAATAGCACTAATAAACTGTCGAATATATCCTGTGTTCACATCTTCACAACTTCTGAATGCCATCAGTAAAGTGAAAGCCGGAGATATAATTGATTTAAGGAATACCACATTTAGAGGTGCATTCCGTAGTGAAAGAAGTGGAACTCCTAACGCTATGATTGTACTTCAAGGTAACCGCCGGACTGTTATAACTAACAAAGAGGGCATTGGATTGCATTTGAAAAGAGCCAACTATTGGTATCTAAAAGGCTTTACAATTATGAACTCAAGAAAAGGTGTTTTGTTTGAAAAATCCAATAATAATATTATAGAGAATTTGAAAATCGAGAACATGGATGAGGAGGGCATTCATATGTACGATGACAGCAGTGATAATGTTATTCGTGAATCTAATATTGTGATGACAGGCCTTAAGTCGGCCTCACACGGAGAAGCAATAGTAGTGGGCAGAGATTTTCGGCACTGGTATGGCCGACACCCCGATCAAAGCGACCGAAATATAATTATTAATAACCGGTTGGGACCGGGATTCTCTCACGAAGCCATTGTACTAAATGAGGGCACGTGTTGTGGTCTATTGGCTCGAAACCAATTTGACGGCAACGGCATGAGTGACCGCAATGGGTACGGCTGTTGGGTGAAGATTAAAGGCGACAGATATCGCATTGAAAATAATAGGGGAACCGCTTCTGTAAGCGAAGGCTTTATGGTATTGTAAAGTTCAGCTTTCATATCATATTTCAAACTGATCTTGGTATTGTAAAAGTTCAATACAGCTTTCATATCATATTTAAACTCATCTCTAATTAGTGAACAACACTTCAACATAAACTCAACACTAGTAGTCTAATGCCTTTTGTCTATTTGTCAGGTAATCAGACCTCAAGAAAGTAATAATCTGTTGAAAAGCGATCTCATAGTGGATATGGGCGGCTGTGACAACGTTTTTGAGCAAAACTCATGTAATCTGCAGTCAAATGGGTATTGCATTAAAGTAGTCAATGACGACAAGTGCGGGAATATAGTCTATTCAGACAACGCGTTCATTGATGGGTTGGCGTTGACTAACATTGCCGTCACTCGTAAAAAGCGTTCCTATAAATTGGGTTTTATTAGCAATGAAATCAATTTTGCTCTCATATTTGCCTTCACTTTCTTACCATTTCTATTCCTAATATTTGGTCTCATTATATACTTTAGACCACATTCTTTCAAAAATATTACACTTTTATAAACATATTGATTATATAGTTCATAATATACCAGTACAGGAATAATGCTAACTTTACAATAATACAGTACAGGGTACCCACTTTAGTTGAATGTACTCTAAAGCTGATAAAACTTTCAATTTTCATAAAATTATCATTTCAAATATGTATCCACATTAGAGTATAGTATTTTCAATGATCGCTCCAATTATTATACTGTATTTCAAAATCAATAATATATTGATTAGACTTACACTAAATATTTGTATGAACTGTAAGTGCATGGCAACTTTAAATAACAATAAATCAAATGAAAATCAAATTAATTTATAAGTTATTTATAATAAGTCTCTCATTGACTTAAACTGTGATCAATGGATATAAAGTTGATGATTTGAAATACATTTGAAAATTGATTTAAACAAATCACAAATATTTTCACTTAAAATATTTATTAAATAAGTTTAAAATATGCACAAAAAAGCGACAAAAATTGATTCTTAGATTAATAAGTAATGTCTAAGAAGTCTAAAAATAGCGAATCTATGATTCAGTTATTCTTTGTTTATGTTTGTAATAATTATCTTCTCGTAAGACTTCCTGTGATTTTTC